TCTTATTCAGATACCCCAAACTCCATCACCAAATCACTGGTATCTCCATGATTCAACTTTACAATCTGTGACCCGACGCAGTGTTTTTAAAGTATTTAGACCAGTGATGGAGAACCTTTTAGAGACCAAGTGCTCAACAACTGGTCCCGCCCCCACTCCTCTCCTGCCCCGCCCCCGCTCTGCCCCCCCCCCACCCCTCGCACTCCTGCCCCCAGGACCACTCACCAACTCCACGGCCCGCCGCAGATCGCCCAGACAGCCCAGCAGCGCCATGGCAGCCACACCCTCTGCCCCCGCCCTGCAGCATCAACTGCATGATGGGGTGTGAGGGCAGAGTCTTGTCTACGCTGCCTGGCTGCCATGTCCTTGGCGGCGCTGCTCCGTGTAGGCCATGCTCAAGGGCGACTATCCTTTAGGGGGGCTGTTGGAGAGGAGGAGGTCACGGGAGAAGGCAAGGCTGGGGCAACGGCACGTGTGCCCACAGATTAAAACCTGAAGGATTACAAAGGGAAAGTGTACACACATCTACACACACACTATATTAGTGTGGGTTAGCTTTCTTCAGCCAAATACTTTCCAGATCTGAAATGACAGCACAAGTAGTTCTCGAGTTATGACCACAATTGAGCCCAACATTTATGTTGCTAAGTGAAACATTTGTTAAGTGAGTTTTGCCCATTTTATGATTTTTCTTGCCACAGTGTTTAAGTGAATCGCTGCATTTGTTAAGTTAGTAACATGGCTCTTAAGTGAATCTGGATTTCCCACTGACTTTGCTTGTCCGAAGGCCGCAAAAGCTGATCATATGACACTGCAACCATCATAAATATGAACCAATTGCTAAACATCTGAATTCTGATCATGTGACCATGGGGATGCTGCAACGGTTTTGTGAAAAGTGATCATCATTCACTTTCTTTTAATTCTGTTGTAACTTTGAGTGGTCGGTAAATGAACTGTTGAGGACTACCAGTCTTCCCACTTATTTTATAGCCAATATGCCCAGACGCTGATAATCCTGGGACCTGCAGTCCTAATTTATCTTGAATGCATCAAGTTTATAGCATTTATTATTTTTATTCTACTTTCCTAATGGATTATGAGAATTGTCCAGGGTTGTTCTCTGCACTTGGTTTTAATCTTGCAGATGTTTGATAAATTGCTGGAAGTTTTAAAGAAAAGATATGACAGTCATTTGACTGGGATGGTATAAAACCCCTGTCTTGGGCAGAGGGTTGGAGCAGAAAACCTTCAAGATCCCTTCCAGCCCTACGATGCTATGAATAATAGGCCATCCATTGCACAAGCTAAGCAATTACTAGATTAGGTAACATCATTAATGCTCAACACCAAGCTCAGAAAGTACCAAGAGTCAAACAATTCGCTCTTGAGTTATACACATTCTCCACTATGGCAACTATATGAATATATTCACACACGTGTGCGGGTATCCCAATCAACTCCCTCTCCTTGTACTTCTAGTTCACTCAAGTTAATGTTTTATTTCTTTCACTTCATATTCTTTTTCTGCTGTTCCACATTTGTTGTTTAAAAAGCATAGAGTTAGGGTTATTACGCCTAACCCTATATTTTTTAAACAGCAAACGTGGAACAACAGAATAAGAATATGAAGTGAAAGAAAGCAAAATGAAACAGAAACAAAAGCAGAAACGAACTCACTTACTACCTACACAATAAGTGGGATCTTCTTGTGACTGTGATCACAGTTGCTGCTTATGAACTATCCTGCGGACACCAAGATTGGCGTGACTGATCATACATTTAACAAATGGAGGGTGGGTCATACACACTCACAGCCCTCCCCTTCTTGATTTGAGTAACCCAGGGGTAGGCAACCTTGGCTCTTTTATGACTCGTGAACTTCAACTCCCAGAATTCCTGAACTCAGCTTGGAAACTCTCTTTTCCCTCAGCATGGCTGGCTCAGGAATTCTGGGAGTTGATGTCCACGAGTCGTAAAACAGCCAAGGTTACCTACCCTTGGACTAACCAACACTGTAACTACTAGCCAGCATACCAATTTGCTGCAGGAGGGCCAGAAACTGTAATCTAATCCACTGGTGCATCAATTCCATACAGAAATACAAGTCTGGACTTGTCCGTTAAAAAGCTTCTAGCTTGGGAACTGCTGTTCTAAAGCATAAGGATATATAAATGCTTATTGATGTGGAAAAAGTCTACATTTTAACCAGATTTTTTTTTTTTAAAAAAAAAAAAAGAGGCAGAGCTAACTAATGTATGACAGAGAAGCCTATCGACCATAATTGGCAAAATAGACTTCATATATTCAATGGCAGCCTAATCTGTTTATTCAACAGATGCATTAGACCAGGGGTCCCCAACCTTTTGGGCATCAGGGACCAGTTCCATGGAGAAAGGTTTTTCCACGGACCGGAGAGTGTGTGGTTTTGTGTCCTGCCTGCAACCCACAGTTGGGGCTTTGCTTGTTTGTGCGGCCAGGTACTGGTCCACAGACTGAGGGTTGGGGACCCCTGCATTAGACAGTTTTAAGTTACTGTTTTACAGATAAAGTTTGTTCATGTACTGTGGAAAGCAATATAAATATAAGCAAATTTTTGCTCTTCCCTCCCAGCTTTAAAAGTACCTCCCAATTCACAAGCAGCATACCAGCATACAGGTAGTCCTCATTTAGTGACCACAACTGGGACTGACCATTCAATCATTGGGGAAGTCACTATAGAAACTGACTATACTTAAATGATTATGCTTCAGACCTGCAAAGGTCATAAATGCTAGGATTGGTAAAGTTACTTTTTCCATCACCGTCGTTAACTGTGAATGCTTGCAAAATGAAGACTGCCTGTATCCAAAAAGGAAGGGCTAATACCTTGCCTTGGCATTGGAAAGATCTTGGCTCAATTGATGATGTTCGTTCTTAAGGAGGAGGCCCAGAACTAATTTCCTTGAGTTCTGAAGGAATCTGTTGCTCTTTTGAACTGTGGGAATGCAGTTTTCTTAATTCAGGACCACAGATTAGTTGGGGCTGATAGGAATCGTCCATTATTTGCTAATAAGGAACAGTAGCTTTCTACTTAGAACGAAATTCCTTGGTGCATTCAACCATTTGCTGAGTCATTTATTTTTTTTAACTCCTGCAATGACATTCGCAGTGTTCATTTTGTCTAAATCAAATTCAAAAAAACAGAGGAAAGCTTCTATATTATTTCTGCAGACAGGTGGGGAGGAATGTTTTTCATAAGAGGAAAGATGGGTTGAGAACTGAATTTAGTTCTATAATTCTTGCACCATTCCCAAAATTAAGCACCTCATATTTATTCGGTTGAATGAATTTAAAAAAAAAATCATTTAAGGTTGTGGCCAGCATTTCTAAGGCAACATTTTTCACATATTTTAGTCCTCTATCATGGTTTCAAACATTCTTTCTAAATGAGAGACATTTAAAAAGCATCCTCTCCTATCCTGGATGGCCTTGGGAAATTTTGTCACACCTCAACATCACCCTACATGAACCCAAATTACATTTAATCCATTTACATGCCATTCACATCAATGTCCTGCAAAGAAAGATCAATTACGGCTGACAAGTTCTGTTTAAAGTAAAACCTGTATCTCAGCATTAATTTTGCTCACCAAAGATCAGCAAATAATATTACCCAGTAGTCCCAGGACACAAATGTGAAAATCAACAGTCCAAATAACTTTAAATGATTAACACTCACACAGTAGCACTGTGACATTGGTGATGAACAGAACAGCTATTTAACACTGGCCTTTTAAATCTCATGACAGTATTTTTTCCAAGATAGCTTCAGGAGAAAAAGGGAACCAAACTGGAAAGATAATTGATTATAACACCCACATGTTTCCTGCCAAATTCTATGCTCTCCCCAAATGGTCAAACATTAGATTTTCTATCTTAGTCTACTAACAGGAACAAGTACAAAGATGAAGGAGGGGTTTGTTTTCTAATTGTTCCAGACAAGATGCTGCTTTCACGAGAATGCACCTTTCTCAAAGATAAGCCACAAAAAAAGTTAACAAGGATCGATTATTTTTTATTTTTTACTTTCCACATCAACCAGTCAATGAAAGAAATAATGTTTATCACAGAAATGACAGAGGACCATAAGAAGCATATGCAATGTTACTGCAGCCTCACTAGGATGGCGTGCATGCTTAAAATGGAAACTGTACCGTAGCTGCACATGGCAAGGGAATTTTCAAAACAATGGGGGAATTCTAGAGTAAAGAACAGATTGGATTCCTTTTTAAGGAAGCCCCAGAAATGCAAACATTTACTTCTACATGGTAACACGGAGAAGGCTATTACCATACCACAATCCACATGCTACACTGCTTGTTACCAAGAGTTGCCTGGGAATTCTGGGAGTTGTAAACTACAAACCTGATTTATGCTTTACGAACAGCTGACTAGAGTGTCGCATTTCTGAATGTCTTTCTCAGTGTACAAATATGCATGCAACGGAAATCCTCTCCTGGAGACATGCAAAGGTTAACAGCCAAGTCATGGCACACTCTTTCCTGCCCGCAGAACAGATGCACAGTACTGCACATGCCAGCAGCTACTACTTGGTGGTTCAAGATCAAAGACCTCATGCAACCAAAAAGAAAGTTAACGCCTGGCAGACTCACCTTGTTTTAAATAAACTCAAGTCAATCTGAAACTACCCTAACAAAAGAAAAACTTACACAAATTCCTTCTAAACCTGAAGCTTTAGGTCAACTTCTTCTCAGCTTAAATCAACCATACCTCAGAGACAGAAACAAAGAGGGTGAAGCCCTAAGACCCCCATCATCTAAATTTTTGGTAGGGGATGGAGATGGATTTGGGTGGAGAAAGAAGAAAGGAAGCGAAGGATCATTTTATTTTAGCCTCTCAGACTTGGCACATGCATTGAATTCCCTCATCTTAATTATGACTGCTACAATATTCTGTAATTTCAGAATTTCCTCCCTATTTTATTTTTAAAAACTAACCTTTAGCATTCTTTGCAGAGAAAGCGGGGGTGAGGGGAACCTTATGTATTTCCTGGTCTGTAGTTCCTTTGGCAAAGGATTTCACACACTTTCATTTTCAGATCTAGAAAGACCTGAAATAAAGGCAAGAAACTGGCTTTATGAATACAATTACAAGCAAACAATTTTTGGAGAGGGAGGGGGGAATAATATCTAACTATAACAAATTGCTTTATAGTCTGGAATGAATTCACTTAAGTTGATTCTTGGAAATTAAAAATACACACACCAAATACAGAACAACCTATAGTCTGGGGGAATAAAAGAACCACAGAAAATATAGAGATTTTGGAGAAAGTGATGTTATTAAAATACTTTGTATTTAACCCTGAAAAACATTATAGTTTTCACCGGTCTGGAAATAAGCCATACACGTTTGTACATTAAAAAAAAAGTATATTTCTTCTGCCTCTATGTAGTGAAACTATTTTCAACTGCCATGCAAAACTGGATCTAATCTACAAACATTTGCATCTCCTGAAGCCACCTTCTAATTTACAACTCAGGTTGAACAAAACAAGCCACAGGTTTTGAGGAGGGGGTAGAAAGCACAAAGGCTTTGTGGGTTGTTGCATGGAATTCTCCTACTTAAAATACAAAAAGATACACCACAGAAAGGACTGCAATAAGAAACAGGGGTTGGGGAAGCGGGGGTAATACCATCCTAAAACATTGACAGTTGCCTGGAGGACCAGAAGCTAAATCTTCATGCTTATGTGTGAATAAAACAAAGAAACTGGGAGAAAAACAGAAGGTTGATTCAATTGGGTCCAACAAACCTATTCAATAAAGGAGAAAAATTAAATAGATATAGGACCCATCTTCAGTTTATGAATATCATGCCAATCAATCAGGCACAAAAACCTTTGACAGAATTTTTAATTCCCTTCCTTCGGTTCTTTTTCTTCCTCCATCTGCCTCCCTTTTTTTTCTTTTCCACAAACACACCCTCATTATGGAGATTAGTAATAATTTGTTTAGAAGTATAGAGAGAGCAGGATGGGTAAAAGCCGGTTACCAATGGAAAATGAAAAGGGGGAAAAATGGCACTTGAAGAAAAAAACTAGGGCTCACCTGTTTACTTTCCATCTCATTCCTTTTACAAAGAAGCATCTTAACATGCAAGGAAGCCCAGAAGCTCTAACCATTGGCCTCAATCTACCTCCACTATGTTTTATTTTTGTAAAAAAAGATTTTTGAACAAATAAAAACCTCAGCAATATATATTATATATAATATATATATATATTACAGGCCTAGCATGCTGTTGCTTCCTTTCCATTGCAAAGGATAAAAAAGCAACCCCCCCTCCACCTTTATGTACACCATAACCCTCCTATACCCCAAATTCAGTTTTCCCCATTTGAAGCCCTTTGAGATTTGGAAGAGGGAAAGGGTGGGAAGTTACATAAATCTCGGTGCCTGTGAACCAAAGCAAGCACCAATGAATGCTTCCACGCATCACATAAATGCAGAGACAAGGAGAAGGGAGAAGGCAAGGCAAAGAGCCGACTGGGATTCTTTAGGAGGAAAAACTGTGGGGTACCCTCCTCCCGTTCCCCCCCCCCTTTCTGCTCAGCATCCCTTCCACCAAACTAGGTTGGGGGGGGGGGAGGAAGCAACAGGAAGGCCTTCAAGCCAAACCCTCCTCCTTTAGGCTTCCTCGTTTCTCCAGCCTTTGCAAGCCCCCCTCCCCTCCATAAAACGTGAAGAAAAAGTACGGGGCAGGGCGAGGGGAGGTTGCACTAAACTTTGCTCCATTAAATATAGTTAGAGTAATAATAGTCCTTGCAAAATGAAAAAAAAAAAAGCCCTCCCTTCTCCTCCGCCTTACAAACTTAAACTTACTTCTTTCTCCCCTCGGCCACCACCGGCTCCCCACATTGGGGCACATGCAGGGGGGCGCCCCCCCCCCACTCCCACCTTTGCTGCAAACCTACCATATGAAGAAAACCCCGACTCTCTACAAAATTAGCCCTCCAGGGATAAAGCCGCCGCCTCCCACTCCGTCGCGACTCACCTGAGCTGCTTTCCCCCGTCCGGACTCTTCAAGGGTGGGGGCCCAAAGATCTCTTCCCCCCCAGTCCCTCCATGGCTCGCTGTTGTCTCTTTAAGCCTCTTTCTGTCCTTCTCCTCCCCAGCAGGCAAAGAGCAACGCCTTTGCGCCAGCGGCGTAAAGCCCACGGGCGCCCTATGACATTGACGTCACGGCGGCGGCGCAAACCGCGTTGGTGAATGGCAGGCTCCGCTTCTGGAGCTTAGGAGACTCTCGCCGCCTTCTCTCTAAGTCTGGCCATCCCCTGGAAGGGAGGGGGGCGGGCGCCCGTAAAGAGTTTTTAGCGCATGCGCCGAAGAGAGGGAAGGGGGAAGAAAGAAAAAGGAGAGGGCGCAGGCGGGAAGAAGAGAGAGAAGCGTAGAGGTGACGACGCGGTGGCTGCCTGGAGAAGACTTCCGGCTTTGTGTAGGATGCTGGCCGGGTTGCCCACGTGAAGGGAAAGAACCGTGCAAACTCATACGCATTAATACAGAATGCTGGGGCGTCCCAACGACGAATGTTACCCTAATAAAATCATGCCTATGGTGACTTTGAATTAGGCCCCGATGAAACTTATTCTAATTGGGATTTGGGGATTCATAACAATTACCGTGACCAGGAGTCCTTTATGATAAAGACAGTCCTTTCTTTCATAAAGCTGTCCTTTAGATTTAATTATTTTCTTGGTTTTGTTGTTGACTTTGTAAAACAATTTTTTAAAAAAAAAGATTTTAAACCTTTAGGAGATTTTTCAGACTTGCCCTTTTTTCACGGTTTTTTTTCCTGTAATTTTTTTTTTCAAGAAAATATCCCTGTAAGGATAATGTATTTGTAAAGATAATACACCTGGGTATAGGGCCAGCTGATTATGAAATAAATCTGCACTGGAATGCTGTGCAATTATCTCTTAACCATACATTTGTATATTTTAAATTAATTTATTACATAATATAAGATATAAATGCAAAAGGTTGACAGTGAAATAGAAAAAAGAATAAGAATAAGTCTGCATAATTACTGAAATAGTGCTGTGTGACTAACCTAATGCGCATTACACTTGGATACAATGTATGTAGCAAACTCTCCATTGTATACCCGTGAGAAATGAACCGAATGTATTACAATGTGTATTCCTTTGTTCCTGAGAAAAGGAAAGTATAAAACTGAAGTCTGAACCCGCCCTCGGGGTTCAGAATTCCTTGTTGTTATTGCTTCTGAACCTGCGCAATAAATCTCTCTGCTAAAACCCTCTGGAATTCGTAAGAGTCCTTTTGTTTTCCACAAGAATACCATGCTTTTAAAAAGTACTTTTAAAAAGAATGGGAAGAGATTAAGCCTGCATTTCTGCCTGCCATGGCTTTGAAAGACATAATACAGTATGGTCTAGCTCTCAAAGTAACTGATTTGTGCCAGTTCAAACCACTTAAATGACCAAACCTTTCTCCACATATAAAACTTTTCTGGATGCAAGAACCCTCTAATTATGCAGAGCAGCGTTTGTTTGTGCTACAACCCTGCATTCTAAATTGATAATACCCTACAAAACAAGATCAAAAACCTGTTTCCAGTCTACCATGCAGTATGGATAGTCCTTGGGCATAATCACAGCTGAGCCCAAAATTTCAATTGCTAAGTGAGACATTTGTTAGGTGAGTTTTGCCCCATTGTACAACCTTGCTTGTCGTAGTTGTTAAGTGAATCAGTGCAGATGTTAAAATAGTAACACAATTGTTAAATGCCAAGCATCTAAGTTTTGATCATGTGACCATGGGGATGCTGCAATGGTCATAAGTGTGAAAAATGCACTTTTTTCAGTGCCATTGTAACTTTGAACGGTCACTAAATGAACTGTTGTAAATTGATTACCGTACTGTATTTTTAAGCAGAGTGAAAATGGGGGTGGGGGCAGTGGGGGGATTCAAATATGTGAACAACCGGTTCTCTGTGTGGATGCCACTTCCGGAAGTCCATTCTGGGCCTGGGCAACAAAAAATGAGCTACCGGTTCTGCCGAACTGGTGCAAAGTGGCTAAATCCCACCACTGGTAAGAGACAGGTAAGATCAAGCCTCCTTTGAGTCAAGTATGAGGACTGGTGACAAAATCTACTTTTTAAAGGTACAATTCAAACATGGTTTCCCACTGTCATCTGGAATTGTTGCAATTAAACATTCTAATCTGTAGCTCTGATTTTCTGATGTTCCAACTGAACACTGTAGATCTAACCTGCCTAACTTTTTCAGATCAACCAAGGTTAGCTAGGTGCTGCCATCTAGTGTCACCCAGCAACCACTATCAGAGATAATCTGCTTTCTAGTACTGGAGGTAATAGATGGCCAGCCATCTTGCAAAAACTAAATGGCTCTTGTCTAATCATAAATATCTTTTGACGTCCTTTGAAAAACAATGTTTTCTTAGGAAGATATATCAGTATTATGGGCTCATCAATATACACCTTTGGTGCCAATGCAGACTAATTGATATGTCCCGTTCTGGCATTGCAACTTCCAAAAGATATTTTGTTGGTCACAGCCCATCCTGAGGACCACCTCCATTTGGGAGTTTGCCTTTCAATTCAGATAAGCTGGAGAGTCCCAAAAGTGCTTTTCAAAAGGCAACTGGACTTTCCTGCTTTTTACCTTGAAAATGTTTTGTTTCTCACCCAAGAAGCATCTTCAGTTCTGACTGAATGGTGAGGAATAGAAGGATTTATGTGCGTTGCAGAATATACAGTAAATGTGTTGAATATAAATGTGTTCTGCAAAGTATATAAATCCTTTTATGCCCCACCATTCAATCAGAACTGAAGAAGCTTTTTGGATGAGAAGCAAAACATTTTCAAGGTAAAAAGCAGGAAAGTCCATTTGCCTTTTGAAAAAGTACCTTTGGGACAACCAAGACCTGGATGATGGGTAATTTTCATAAACATAAACTAGAGAGGTTCGGAAAAGGAGAAATGAAGAAGATGTAAAAACTAAGTTCCATGAAGAACAAAGGATAACAGGATAGCAGTTTCAAACACTTGGAAGAATATGTAGAAGACCCAAACATATTCTTCATTGTTCCAGAGTGCAAAATATAGAATAATAACTTTAATTGTCAGACAGATGAAGCCATTATCTCAAGATATGATATTTTCTCTTCCTAGAATACATTCAAGTAAAGGGTTTGGATTCCTGCACGGACCCTCAATATATGCTACTGTACAACAGAAAAGATGCAGAAAAGAACAGCTGAACCTGTCAAGGCCTTCAAGCAATTCCTGTGTGAACAAAATGACAACAGTGGGGAAAAAAATTAGGAGAACATCTTCTTCTTCTTGTTGTGCCATATCCGTTATCAGATGTTGGTGATCATGTTGGCAATCCTGTTTTTATCAGCAACCGCATGAAAAAGTGCTGCTGAGTTTTGTCCAAACCAATCCCTTAGATTTTGAAGCCATAATGTTCTTCTTCTGCCTGGACCTCGTTTGCCTTCAATCTTTCCCTGGAGGATTAAATGGAGTATGCTGTATTTTTCTGAGTGTCGCATCACATGTCCAAAATATTCTAATTTTTGTTTTTTAATTGTTTTGATGATTTCTCTTGGCTTTCCCAGGTGGCTTATCACCTCCTCATTTCTGATCTTGTCAGGAGAACATAGATGAATATAATTAACCTGGAGGAGGGGTGTAGAAAGTGAACAGGCATCTTTCATAAAAGCAGACTTTTTGAGAGCCGGCCTGTCTCAACATAAACCTGCTACTTAGATCAGCAGGAGAAGAAGCTATCTAAAATATGCTCCCTGAAAGTTGCTCTACATTTGTTCAATACGTGGAAAATGACTCCCATCAATGTTGCTGTCAAGTTATGCAAAGGAATTATTTCAAATAGCAATTATCACCCACAACCACATTTTTCCTTTTTCTAGATGAGAGAATTTCTTCTCTTGTTTTACCCCTAGCCTTTCCAATCTGAAAGAGTTAATTGTGACTTTAATTTTTCAAAATCTGATTTTACTTGTTCATGTTGTATTTTTTTCTAGTTAGCATCATTGAATGTCTTCTGGATAGGAAAGTGATGTATACAAAAAATGTGAAATCATAGCTGTCAATTATATAAGTGGTGTTCGCCTTTTTTACATGTCAAGTTCTTCCCAAGAACCTAGGATGTTGTGTTAACCTTGTTATCTCAGTGAACCTAAATGATCAGAAATTGAGCAGATAAAAGGATTTCATCAAGGAAAATGTCAAGTAAGGAAAAATTGTCACGTTACATAGGAATAACTTCAATATTGTACTTCACAGTGGGATTAGATAAATTTGTGGAAGAACAACAGAAACTTTGTTTACATATTGGGGGTGTTCAGTGATCCCATGATGTATAAACCAAGCCCATAGAACTAGCTTATGGTTCTGTATGTTGTTTCAGTCCAGGAAATTGGTCATATTTGGAAAACCACCATTAACCTGAATTTGGATATATTCTACAAACCCAACCAATGTGTTAAACCATTTTTTTTCAACTGTGGTTTCTCTAATAACAATAAGTAGCTGAGTGGTGGCTGGGTTGGAATAACACAGTGGTTCTCAACCTTTTTAATGCCGCGACCCCCAACCAGTCATAAGTCGAGGAGTACTCAACTGGTCGTAAGTCGAAGACTACTCAACTGGTGCAGCACCGTTTGCAGAATGGGACTTTTGGCAGGCTCAACAGGGCAGAGACAGCCTGGACAATTCCTATTGGCTTTTGAAAGCCAATAGAATTAGACTCTATTCAAGAGAGTCTATTCTATTGGCTTTCAAAAGCCAACAGAATAAAAGAGAGTAGCACAGCTAAGGAAAAGGGGGAAAAAAATGGCGGACTGCATTGTTTGGCGACCCCTGTGAAATGGTCGTTCGACCCCAAATGGGGTCCCGACCCACAGGTTGAGAACCACTGGAATAACAGATGAAGCTCACATATTGAGGATACTCAACAAGGAAGAATAGTAAAGTAAAAGAAGAGCTGGCTAAGTTGGAAGGTGGTTAAATGTGTCATCATCTTGGAATCATTGTGCTGCCACAAGAGACCAAGTCCAGCCCCCCCCCATGAATTCCATTGATCCTTATTTAGCACCAATTTTGCTTTCACTGTTGGTTGACTAGATTCTTGTATAGGGGTAGCAATAACAAACTCTTCTGTGCTTTGAACTCAACAAATGCTCCTGGTTATTTGTGACTGGCACATCTAGCCCAAGGGTGATGGCTCTTGAGCTGCTGCAACTAATGTCTAAGACCCTTGACCTGGGTAAATGATCCCACTGGAATTTTGTCAT